CAGCGACATGTTTTGACAACCTGACCCAAGCCACAGACCACTACCATGTCCTTCACTCATCAAAAATTAATTACTTAACAACCAAACATCCCAAAGAGAGCAAAATAATCTGTAAGGGAAACCTGTATCAACCATGTGCAGTGTCACTGCATTTGGTCCATACCTTACCAAATTCAGAGACTGATAATGAATTCACAATTTTGTGCAGAAATTTTGAACGAAACTGCACTATTGGGTTGGTTTAGCAAGAAGCATCTGCTTTGTTGCAAATTGCTTAGTCGCTAAAGCGCTTAGTTGACGAGTATGCATTAGTGCCAGAGCAAATATGGAACAATTTTTGTCACTTAATCATTATTTATACCATGTTTCACACAATAATTTTCAGTTTCCATTGATGAACCGTTCTGCTTGTTGTGACCTTTTCTCTTTGGAAATTGGCTTGGCGTTTTGCTTTAATGCGTGCACTGAAATTGACAGTAAGTTACTAAGAAATCAGAATTTAAAAAAAAAGGCATTCATTAAACTTTTTCTCAATCCCAACTTTGAGGTTCCATAGCTCAGTTGGTGGTAGCACCCAAAGGGTATCTAGAAGGAATGAATTCAAGCCATGGCAAAGCCCAAGTTCTTTAACTGGGCTTAACTCTCTGCTATTACCAACAGTAACTGCAGTTACCCTTAAGGAACACTTGGTCACATGTCACTCAGAGGTCAAATAAGATTTATTTCATGTCATTTGAGATAACACTTCGTGTCATTTGAGATAACACTTACTTTCCACCCAGAGAATGCATCTTAGTGTACAGGTAAACTCAAACTACATGATTTGTCTTGTAACACATGCCTCACTAGGACTTATAGTAAAAGCTGATTCAGATAAGTCAATTGATACCAATAGTTACTCAACCAGGAATTTAAAAGAGGAGGGAATGTACAGAACTGCTGTAAGATAAGATTGTTCATCTGTTGTTTGGTCAATAATTTTAGCTTCAATGGAAATTAAAAAAAAGTCAATAAGAACTCAATTTCGAGCATTTAAATTTTAAGAAAGTGGGGGAGTGGGGGTGAAAATAAGCATAAACCTCACACCTCTTAACCCTTTGACCACAAAGAGTGACTAGAATCTAATTTCTCCTCACAATATAACCCCTGAATCACACATCAAAGTCATGTGATGAAAGGAAATGATCATCAACAGCTCTTGACTGTTAAACAAATACTCCTAGTCAGCACCATAAAAGCTGTCTGGAAAGGTATGTGGAGAATATGCATATTGATGTTAGGGTGTAAAGGGTTAAGAGAGAATATTATATGTCTTGATGAGGTCTTATTCATCTAGAGAAATACATTTTTGCTGATGAGTAGGATCTTACCAGAGGTAGAGACAGACATCTTCACCATAAGGCTCTGTAGCAGCTGCAACAATTTCATCTGAACAATTCAAACCACAAGCAGTAAAAGAGCAGTTGTTTGGGCCTGAAGGGAAAGAAAACTCATTATCATTAAAAGCATTCTGAGCCTGATTACATGGAGGTAAGGGAATCAAGTCCACCAATCACTGATAGGCAGCTCAGCCCTAGAATTATACAAACATGATCATAAGAAGATCATTTGGAGGGATCATAAAAAACAGTGGGTAACCCCACCTACCTGGCAAATACAGTGGCCTTAAGGTTGGTGCCCTGGACTCCAAGTCCAGAGCTCTGGGTTTGACCCTTTACCTCCATTTTACAGTTATGTGCTTGGTTGCCAAGCCTTTGAATAGGAGTAAAGCTAAGGTTGACCTTGTTATGATACAAACATTGCTGCTTTTCGAATGTAAATTACTTTGTTAGGATTCTAACTAGATACTGGTATCTATCACAACAAGGTCACCTTCAAATTCAAAGGCTTGGCAACTTTAAGTACACAACTGTAAAATGGCATATTGTCAGAGAAGCCTATAAAAAGCCTAGGGGTAACCTTATAAAAGGTTGTTTTCCCATCCAGGCGAAAGTGATTAATATACTCCTAGTAGCTTCATGCTCTAGAAACCAAACCCTAGGATTTCAAATTCCATTGAGAACAATTTTTAGGTTTTGTGCTTAAAGACCATGGGAACCCATCTGTAACTATTTTTTGGTTCTGTGAAAATTCATGGGGAACCCATCATTAATATCTTTGAACTCAGGAGACAGGATGATCACTTGTTGTTTAAAGTACATCAAAATAGAACTTGGATACTTTCATAACAAAAATAGCCAAAGTCCTTTGACACCATATCGATTGTTGAACATGAGGGCCACCAACTCTGGTAACATGCAATGCACTATGGGAATGATACAAGATGGCAAACAAGAGAGAACTTAGACAACTGATCTAACTTAATAAATATGCAGATTCAAAACTGAAGAATTTCTTGACTAAAAATCAGAGCAAGAAAACACCTTTCACTTAAATTTTAAACAATAGGGCTGAATGTGTCAACGAGAAACTTTTTTTGGGTTCCATTATTTTGTGAACATGTTACAGCATGGTACTGGAAACAATTGTTATGGTGAAAGCCTGGGGCTCTGGAAACTTGGATAAGCTAAATCCCATCAAAGAATAACAACATACTGCAAGAATGTATAGTTGCTTCCTGTACTAAGTCAGAAGGGAATTCTCAAGAAATAAATAACAAGATCTTGTAAAAAAGATTACATTGTGGAATGTAGGATTCTCATCAAAAATGATTACCGGTAAATACCCCGTAATAATAATAATAATAATGCAAAGATAATTTTATAACATACTCAGGATCCTGTAAACTGGTGCTTTAAATGCCTTTCTTGAATCCCAGTAACTAATTATTAAATAAAAACAAAATCACAAAAAAGTGAGAGTTAAAATAATTCATCATTATGGGGGAAGAAATCAGCCATCCAAAAATTCAGTGTCTCAACTACGAGTACTTCAAAATTGAATCTGAGATTGCAACAACTTCTGTAGTAAATATCAAACCTTTCAAACAATGACATAGGTGGAAGATTGTGACTGTAATCAGAAGCCATTTATTGTAAATCATCAGTTACTTTCTCTTTTTTTCAAAAGAAATTTTTAAGAAGGAGCATTGCACAATCACAAAAATTTTCCATTACTAAAGTCTCTAATCATGCCTGTGCATGTAAGCATCCCTTTAGAGCTGCTATAATGATTAATTTACAAACCTAAGCGCAGTATCCATGGATGTGGACCAGAAGCAGTGTTCATTAGTATGACAATATTCTATACCTGTAATCCTTGCAGAATGAGCTGTCAATTAAAAGTGAAATATACAATGATGTAAAAATCTCTCTATCTTATGCTTCAATAGAAATCATCTGGGTGAGTTATTTAAAGTATGCTCTAGTTTTTCCAATTTTCCTAAGATATCAAGCCAACCACTTAAAATTTCTTTGTTTCATCTATTTTGAAAGCTGTATAAGAGTGTAAACAAATATGTGTAGACTATAAACTGAACCAAACTCAAAATAAGATTAAAAGGAAAATCTATCCAACCCTCACCTGTTCAGTCACTGCTGGTCAGAAGAAACATTAGGACTTTTATGTTTTTCTATTAGGACAGCCTCTATGTAGGCACAGTGAAAATAACATAAAGTATTTATTATATCAATTGAACATCCATTTAATAATGAGATAAAAACTTCACCTTTAAAATCTGCAACATAAAGAAGGGTGTCCATGTTTAAAAGCTTAATAGAGCCTTGTGGTCCTATGAATAGGTATTAAAATTAAAACTAATTAATCCACATGAATGTTAAAATACATAACTAAATAAATTTTTAAGAAATAAGGTCTCAGTCAGGCTGGCACTCAGGTCTGGATCTCAGCTTGAGATAACTATAAAAACATAAAAACAATAAACTAATCTACACTCTTGTTACCTCCAACTGCAAACACGTCTTGTTTTGGGCTGAAATTGTAATATATAAAAGCCCTATCAAACATTGTGGAAAAGATAGAAACAAGCTAAGGAAAACAGCGGAATATAAATGTTTGGAGTATGGAAAATAATAAAAAATAATTGTGTTAATGCTACCCTTACGACATAAAATGAACTTTCAAAATGCTTAAGAAAAATAAATGACAATGGGTTCCTGTGCATGCCCTAAGACTTCCCATTTGCTAGTTAGATATATATATATTAATTAATCAATTTATTTATTATTAATGATAATTTATTAATTTTATTAATTTAACAATTTATCAATTAATTAATTTTAATAATAGTGGAGCTCACAGAGCGTAGCCCCATAATTATACAAAATGGTAGTAGTAACCCATCAAGCCGAAAAAATTTGGACTTACGACCGTACGACCGACCGTACAAGATGCTACTTTTAAAATGCGTGGTCAACTGTACCGCGGGCACGCCGAAGCCACTCTTTCTCCAGTAGTCCAGTGGTCAGTGCACTGAGCTCCGAGGCGGACGACCCAGGTTCTAGTCCTGGCCGGGGCAAGGCGTTGTGCCCTTGGGACGTGCAGGAAAAAAAAATGCGAGCTCCGCTTTTAGGCTTGGTTAAATCTATATATTATATGCTATATATGTTGTATATGTTCCCACTGATTTCGAAATTTAATAGATCTCTTGAAAGAAGCTATACTCTGCACCAGTCTTTCATCAAAAATAATTTATAACATTTGCAAACAGATTGTTTGTACCAGAAGAACATGAGAGTTTGCAAATGTTCGTGCAACTGAATGCATATATGCTCTTACCTCATTGAAAGATGCGTTACATACCACAGATCGTCTTCTAAACCCTCTTGAGTGAACTTAAGACGATGCCGAAGGTCAAAACCACTTGGAAACGGTGAAGTTTTCGGATTCATACTCGCCATAACGAAAAAACTAATAACAATACTCGGGATCACCATTTACAACGACCGCCATTTTTTCGCAATGATAGGAAAGAGACTGGGGACTGGGAATAAGTAGTTTCTAGTCTTACGCGGTAGTAATACTTTGTTTACTAACTCATCATTACTCGACAAGCACCGCCGGTTGTTCGCAAAATTGCTTGCTGTTCAAATTGAGGTATTACCTCTCACACAGGTAAGGATATTATTATTTACTCCATTTTCAGCGTCTAATCTTCTGTAAAAATAGATAAATCGTGTTTGCGTGGGACTCGTGAGGTGGAAAGGCGATTAAATAAATTGAAAATTTTCACAGCAAGCCGGGCGGAACTGAAACGTATGACAGCTTAATTGACTCTTTCAAAGTACAGCCACTATTCATTCACCATTTATGAAGACTTCTGCTTTTTTTTGTCCCGTAACTGCTATACTTTGTCCTAGAATCGTTTGGTTACCACGAGTCATTTATGACACCTCGGTCATAGACCGTGAAATTTAGTAGTATTTGCACAACAAACAACTGCTCAAATGTGATAAAATCTCCATCTGTGAATGACAAAACAAAATTTAGTACCTCTCAGCTAAACCGAAATAAGCACATGGATTAAAAATAATTTATTGCTACTGAAAATCGTCGCGATTCTACTATCGCCAATACAATGTTGGTATCGTTAACTTCGGTGGTTACTGGTCAAAGGCACTTGGCAGAAATTTCTACGGAGTTGTCGATTTGGTGAGTCCTAATTTCACGATGAAAAGTGTGATTTTTTCTGACACAATAGGCATTGTGTTTGTCAATATATTACCTGTTAAGCTGTTTTATTGCCTTGGAAATAATTGTCAGCCTGTTATAGATCTTTGATGTTGAAAAATACTTTACAGAGTAGTTTCATCCGGTGTAAATCGTTCATTAGTAAAAGTGGGGGACTCCGTACTTGCATTTTTCTGATTAACTGGTTCAGAAAAAGTATTTCTGCGAGACATTAGTGTTTTAAAGGTGTCCTACCGTGTCAAACAGTGTTTAATCACAACGATTCGAAACATAATTGATTGGATACTTTCCAATACTATTTCTATGGAGGCAAACACAAAGTACAATGTATCTAACTACTTATAATCATTTTCGCCTTCGTGTATTTACTTTGAGTTTTCATCGGCTCCGTGTGGTATCAGTTTTTTTTTTGTTTGACGGGCGGGTTTATTAGGCTTTAACGATAGAAATTGTTACTAATTTGTATACAAGTTATTATTTCACATCTGATCGTCTCAGATCGACTTTTTGAAGCTTTGCCTCACCAGAAAATAGTTTTTAGACATTCTTACAGCAGTATAATCGTAAGTATGTCTTGACCAAAGTACATTAATGAAAGAAAACCCCGGTAAGTGTGGTGATTTTTTTTCTTTTTACATTTATTGGTGGAATCTTTGTGCCAGTAATGAATAATTTATTGTTCAAACTTGTTTGATCAAAAGGGCGAATATTGACCGCGAATATTGACCGCGTACTCTTTGTGGTTTTGGGACACGACATCCTGTCAGTCCATAGAATTTCTGATTAAAAGAGGGCAGTATTCAGCTACATTGACCTATCGGTTAATAACACACTTATGTATCCCTCCCTTTCTGTAATAATCACGAACGTTTTAATTCTTTCTCTCTCTTCTAGGTAATTTTTTTCTCTTCGTGAGTACATCATGGCTGTAAACCCTTGGTTTCGGCTGCTTATATACGGCATGCTTGGATTTGCTTATGAAATAGTCTTCACTTCATTGTTTGACTTTGTGGCTTCCAATTTCACCGACTTCAAGTTCAAAGGATACTCTTCCATTTGGTCCTTCTTTATTTATGGCACCTGCAGTTTTTGCGGTGAACAAGTATACGTCCACATAAGAAATCGTTTATCGGTATTTTGGCGCGGCTTAATTTGGGTTCAAATGGCTTACACGTGGGAATTTTTTGGTGGCCTCGTCCTCAATCAATTTTCCGCGCGTACCTGGGACTACAGCCATTACAAGTATGACATCATGGGGCTGATCGCGCTCGAATACGCGCCACTTTGGTTTTTCAGTGGTTTGCTTCAAGAATTTTTCTACGAATATTTGTTGAGCTTGTCTTTAGTGCCTTCTGCTGAGAGCAAAGAAGGGATCGAGAAAAAATCGAGTCAAGAAATGAATGGAAACTTGAAGATAGACTGAGGGCCAAAGGGAAGGATTTTGGACTGAATAAGCCATTAACTTCTGGAATAAAGTTCAATAAGTAAAAAAAAGAAATCGTATAGAACACATAAAAAAGACGGATTTTTAAAAAATGTCACTTTTTGTAAGGGGAAATCTAACTTTTATGCTGCTTATTTTTGGAAAATGCGAGATTGGGAATTCGTTACCATTGAAGTAAAAGTAGACTTTGATACCAAACTACGAGCGTAGTAGAATCATTGTCCAGGACTTAAGCAATTTCCACAGCAGTGGGCTTGTTTGCTAAGAAACACACGCGTTTATAGATTATAAAATTCTGAGATAAGAATTTTAGTCTGTTGGGCTCCTAGGAAGAGTTAATTTTTTAAGGGATTTTTACGTCCTCATTCAAAGTCTATTTTGGGAAGCAGTTTTAGAATGCTTGTTAAATTTTTACGCATTGAGGTAGACTCTGTTAAGTGAAATATTTCTCTGTCACCGAGGAGAGAAATATTCACGTGTTTTTTAGTAATTTTGTACAAAATTGAATCGTTGTTATATTGAGGAAGACAGTTGGTCAAAATGTTCGTACTTTAGACTTTTATTTCGAGTGTTTGGACTTAAATATGTCTACTCGTTCAAGTTTCGATCTATGAAATTTTCCTAATTGGATGACTTCCAGACATTTCGCGTGACTAAAAGAATGGTCTCGAACTTTTCGAAGTGTTCCTCGGGTCAGAAATATCATGCTTGAAAATTCGAGCTTTATGCTTTTGAGCGTCACCCCGGAAAACATAGACGTATTTCCAAAATTATGCTTATGAATTCGTATAATGCTCCTTTTGATACTTAATTTGAGAGCATATAAAAGCCATTTAACCCCATTTAAGAAGTGAGGAGAAGCACGAGACGTAGTCGAGTGTTTCTCCCCTGCGTGCTTTGTTACATGTAAATAGTCACATTTATGCTAAACATTTTTTATTTATGATGCTGGTATTATTCTCGATGCTCTGAATATAGTATTACGTCCAAAATGACACCAACTTTAGTTATCTGAGCCCATGTCTTCCGTTTCACAACAAATGGCAACCTTTGTACATCGTTTAATTTAAGTCAGGCATGCCATGTTATCAAAAACCACCATAACGCATATAATTTCACTCAAAAAGAAAAACTAATTACTTAATTGGAAAAGATCAATTAATTCCGAACAAACCTAATTTCCAAAAGGATATCCCGAGACGAGGATAACGTCAATCCTGGGAGATAAAGATATGTACAGGAAGATATAAACTAGGTCTTGCATAAACATCGCACAACAACAACTGTTTTCAATCCTTCTCGTCGACTGTCATTTTAAAAATCAGTCAGTTTAACTGCTCAAAATATCGAGAAAACATTCTGAGAGTCTACTCTGTTGAGTCTGAGGACATAATTTCGAAGAACACCCCTGAAATTGTAAATTTCCGGTTTTTTTTTTTTCATAGTTTCTAACACGAGAAATTATTCTGTAAAAAGATAGAACTATGACTCTCAACTGACCGTTAACTATTGCCTCTGAGATCTGGGCTTTATGAAATCATATAAATTTTGTAAGTTTAGCGATTTTTTCCGATTGAGTAAATGCAAATGATTATAACTGTTTTGAAACCTGCCACCTTTTACACGTAAGTACCAATTTTATACTGTGCTACGACACAAGTGGCGATTTCTAGACAAACATGAAAAAAACAGAGCAGACTATAGTGGAATAGCATTGATATGAACTATTATTACAAATGGACTGACGTAATTCAGTCTCTGTTAACTAAAATGAAGCGCTTATGGATGTATTTTCGCCGAATACCGGCGATGCATGGTCAACATATCGTATACGCTCGGTAATATTTCCTTAAAAGTTGAAAATGTTAGCGTCGAGTTAACGCAGAATTTGCTTAAGGATACTACTTTTCTTCCTTACTAAGTTTTTTTCCGGACTCAGTTTGTCCAACATTTTGTGGAATATCGAATCAATGTTGAGATTGAATTTGGCCGAAGTAGCCAGCCATTGGCACTTAAATTTCCCCTCTAGGTAGACACACGCGCTAATTTTCAGTCCATTCGAGTTGACAAACGTTGGCTCCGACAAATTAGGAATATCTGATTTGTTAGACACAATAATGACAGGAATTTTCCGGTTTCTTTCGGCGCAACAGCTCTCGATTTCATCCATGTATCTTTCCAGCTTCGTGAACGATTCTGGCTTGTCCAGAGAATACACCAAAACTGCTGCGTCGGCCTTATGGATAGCAATTCTTCTCATGGCAGGGAACTCGTACGTTCCTGATGTGTCGATGATTTGAAGCTCGTAAGCTCTGTTTCTGTGTGTTATTGGCTTAACATAGAATTCTTCTACCGTAGGCACGTGATCGGGCATATACTTCTCACCCACAAGATGACGGACAATGGAACTTTTTCCCACTCCAGAATCCCCGAAAACCGCGAGAGTGTACTTCTTGAAATAGACGGGTTCTTCGAGATCCTTGGTTTCATTCGAGACGCTTAACTGCATCATGACTGCGTTCAAGACGAGGCGATTTTACATGATGTTTAGTCGATGTAGGTTGAAAAACACTGCGTTCAAGCTTAGCTTACGTTCCTCGAAAACTGAGCTTGAATAAATACTTGACTCGTTTAACCGAAATATTATACGTGCTTCAAAAACCTGATGACAACTTCAAGCGCCGACGGAAGCAAAACGTTGCATAAAAGTGAAAAAAATTTCTGTAAATAATCTTTTATATCACTTGGTTCTAAACATGAAGAAAAACTTTTATTTGTGGCAGGTGACATAAATCCTGGCTAGGGGAAAAGGATTCCATCGTTTACTTTTAAAACATACCAAACACCACCCACGTTCTTTTTATAAGCTTCAGCAAAATACTTCAAATAGCAAAGAGGAAATCCGTTAAGCTTCCAGCTGTTGCTGAGCTTTATTTCTGACCCTTGCAGACAATGTCTTGCGAAATCTGCGAGTTCGAGACACTTGATCTTGTTATAGTAAAAAAATTGCTTTAACAGAGTTGAACGAGACCATTACTAATTGACTGATTGACTTTTCATGAGGCGAATTGATTAGTTGTCAAATTATATCAAGAGGGGCTGGTTATAGTAAGCGCTTTGCTGGCAGGGTGACTTAGTCTGTTTCTGAAAAGTCTGTTTCCAAAATCCCTTCTAAATGTGCCGACATTTCGCTCACAATTACGCTCCCGACACTTGTTAACAACATAACGAACACAAAGAAAAAAGTCCACCGATATACTGGAGAAGATAGTTAGAAATGTGAAAACAAATTCGTGAAATAATTCACTGATGCTACTTAACAGCTTAAGTGGGAAAGAACCATCATAATTTCCTGTCACCTGCTGAGGGGAAATTTATATACTGAAGACCTGTCTTAAAATTACACCTGTTGCCAGAGCTGATGATTGACAAGTGTTTTTTTTTTCCGCAAGCAACTTCGTCAACCTCATCGAATTTATTTCAGCTGATTTCTTAGGAATGAAACTTTTTTCGATCGTAACATGGGCTTCCGTTTCAGAGAAGATTGTGATATGTTATCTGTGAATCGTCTTTCAATGCTAAACTTACAAAACTCACAAATATCTCCCAATAATCTTGCTTTGATCTGTCTGGTGCTTACTCTGCTTACCGTATTTACCCGTGTATAATACGCGCCCATGTATAATACACGCCCATGTATAATACGCACCCCGATTTTTGACCAAATTTTTCATAAAGAAAAAGTTTTCACAGCCAAAAAAACGTTAATTCTTCCTACAACTGACGTTTCGCAGTGGTAAGTTTCGTTACCATTTCGAATTTCTTATCGCTTGTGATTACAGTAATACGGTACGATCGTAATGTTTATCTCGTCAGCTTATTATTTAACTCAAGCTAATAAAGACCAATTATTACGAGGCTTTCGTTACTTTCTTTGTTGTGTTTGTGGATCGAAATTGAAAATGTTTCATCGGTAGATTATTTAACTCAAGCTAATAAAGACCAATTACTACTAGGCTTTTGTTACTTTCCTTGTTGTGTTTTTAACGTATGCAAATTAGGACGTGCTTGGAAAACAATAGAAACCGTGTATAATATGCACCGCGATTTTGATGGTTATTTTTATAGAAAAAAAGTGCGTATTATACACGGGTAAATACGGCACTTTGAGTTTACTTAAACGAATCGTGCAAGCACTCGTACTTTATTTGATTTACGGTAACAATTCGCTTGGCACCAAATGGCACCAAATCACTTTTATTTCAGTCAAGTCTCAATTCAAATACCGAAGCTGTTCTGTAGCATTCTCCAATCTTGACATCCCCCCTCCCCTTCTCCCTCCCCCCCCCCTCGCACCCCCCCCTCCAATTTCCTCGTAAGCTCTAATCTGATCTTCTAGCGGTTCGAAGTCGTCGGCTATCGGAACCATTCAAAGCCAACCCATTCGCAACGTAGTAAAACGCTGAGGTAGTGAAGACTCCCAAGTCAAGAATCATAGGCGTACTCTTTGCATCTTTCAGTTATGAAATTAGTTATGGTTAGGGATGGTTAGGGTGTTTGACCTAAATGACTCAACGTGAGGGCGAATTCCAGAGAGAGAAAAACGTAACTATGCTAGGAATCAAGTGTGTTGAGCCGAAATTGGACATGAGACACGCTTATCAAACGAAATTCTTGTTGAAATCCTTTTTCTTTTTCATGATCCTTTCCGACTGACATTCTAAATGCTTGCAATATTCACATTTCACGTCAAGTACGAATTGCGTAAGGGACATCAATTTTGCATAACTCACTAAACAAGATTATTACGATTCATTTCATGAAAAATGATACTATATCCTTGGGATGAGAATTTTTTTAAATTTTCACATTTACTGCACCCAGCCTGACAGTACATCAAGCCATTCATTAGATCATCTTCCCTCAGTGCTGCTCTTAGGTATATCTAGTGGCAGACTTTTTCTGACATCCTATAGAGAAAATATGGAGAAAATTAAACCCTATGTAACCTCGAGGAAACAAACCCTTCACCCGTCTTAAAAGCAAAAATCACTAAGAGTACTTTAAAGCCGACTCCTGACAAAAAATATAGCCCTTGTCCTCGCCCGTATACATAAGGGACGGACCATTATTTTTCTGGAGGACGAGTATAAGAAATATTGAAAAAATTGTTTGCAGGGTTTGAAAAGACAAAATAAATTGCTTGCAAACGTGATAGGGTTAAAAAAATTTTTTTCAGAGAAGTCAGGTAAGATATTAAAAAGTATTATTTCCAAAACTGAAATAAAAAAAAATAAAGTAACAAATTGAAGCATTAGTTTAAAAATTAACACAGTTTGGGCACTAAAAAGTGGTCACTGTATTAAGCAAATAACAAATCTGAAAATAGCTGAATATTTCTTGAAAAAATGAATGTGAATTTATTGTGGCAATTAAATCTCAACGTTACTTGTCAACATTTTGTCCAATTACAAAACTTCATATATCAGGTATTTTTCTCAAAATTGTATTAAACAAATAATATTTTTCAATCTTGGCTTTATTTATCATTGCTGCATAACGCATATTTCAGAAGTCAATGAATTAATGACATGAACGATATAAACGAATAAATTCTAAAAAATTATAGACAAAATGGTTCAAGCAGCTGTAGTTCTTGACAAAAATTACGCACACGTTGACAACTGAAGAATGTATGCCCTTTATTTACGTCAGTAGCTGCCAAAAATGTTTAAAAGGTGAGTGGAGTGCATATCGACAATAAGGGGCTATAGCACTATTGATTACCTTCTTCGTGAAACAGTTCAATAAGGCAATGGTAATATTAATCACAAATAAAAAGAACACTGAAAAAAAAATGGAAAAAAAATTGTTTGCACGAAGATGATGTTGGAAAAAAATGTTTGCGGGGACGTATATGTTTAAAAAAATGTTTGCAGAAAATTTCTCGTACACCCCTCTAGAAAAGTAATTGTCCGTCTCTAATTGCGACACGGCCGCGATCGCTGGTAAAGTGTTACGGCTTAAAAAGACACCACGGCCTAGTTCAAGATTTTGTTATCTGGTATTTCTGGTTCCATTTCATCATTTTAAAAAGGGGCGGTTTCACCTTGCGGCAAAACCACCGTTCTGGAGAAATTTAAAAGTCAATAACCAACGTGAGGTTATTGATCTAGAACAATTTGTTGTATGTCAATAGACACGTCTTTGTGATCATTGTGGGATACCACTATCATATTTCTAAGTCAACCCGCACCACAGTTGACGAGAAATAATTTTAAGTACGGCCATGATCGATTCGAACATTTATCAAGAAGAACACGAAGAAATTAAAGCTTCGTAATCGTCAATTTTGTAGGGAAAAGCAACTTCTCGAGCACGCATGTCACAACAGTGATATTATCTCCACACTTATTTGCATTTTACAGAAGCGTATGCAAATTGTGTCCTGTCAGTCACGACAGTCGAGCGGTGTCTTGTCACGCATATTGTCATGTGTGGCCAAAAAGGCAATCATCAACTAAAATTCTCATTTCAATATCACCAAATAAAATAGGTGATAAAATGTTTTATTTAAAGTAAGAATTATACACAAGGTTAACCACCGCGCTGGGAGAAGGTGTTTCATAAGCGATGCGCATGCGTAGTAGGGTTTAAAAAAATTACTAAAATTGTGAAATTACAATTCAGTAACAAACGTATGCGAAAAAGACAATCATACCCAATATAATCGCTTTATTTTTGTATTTGATGTGTCAAAAAAACTGAAAAAAAAAGAATTTTCCGGAGTAAACCTATAGGAACTGGTAACTATAAATCCCATATGGACAACATTATTGATTTTATCTAATGACCGCTGAACCCTCTCCG